TATAGTAATGCTTTATAGTCAATCTCCCTCTATTTCTCTCTCCACTCTCTCTCTCCCTTTTTGCCCCTCCCTCCCTCCCTCTCTCCCTCCCTCCCTCCCTCCCTCTCTCTCTCTCTCCCTTCCTCTCTCCCTTTCCTACCCATCATGAAGTATGTCACTGATGCAAATATACAGAGTGGTAATATCCTCATTGGTATAATGTCACAGAGAACCTTAGCAATGAAGTACGAGGAAATCCTGTAGAACCCACTGGCATTCTCATGACTATAGAAAGAGATGAAATTGTACAATAATCCATGTATATATACACCGTACATGTACATATATACATGTACATGTACAATTGCATGCAACAGGTGTGCTCTTAAAGGATAAAAGCTATAGTACAATGTGCACATTTAGAATCTTGACATAATTAATACATGTATTAGTTTACACAAATACATGTACATGTACATGTAGATATAGATTGTTTAATAATTATGCAAAGTAAAAGAAGAATGCATGTACATGTACATGTAAATGCTACACAACATGGTGTCTAAATGACAGTTAACATAAACCAGTTATTGTTAAAATGAAATGTACTGAATACATTTTTCCTCTTACATGAATATGTGCTTCTGCCTTATAAAGAGGTCAATGGCTGACAAGTTACCAAATATCTGATTCATCACAATGAAGAAAATAGCTCCGATCCTAATAACAAACAATAATGATGTAAGTTATACATGTAATAAAATCTATCAAAAAACACATGAAAATTAGATATGATTTTTATGAGCCATTTTTATGGGCTATAGTACAGGAATTTATTTAGAAATTGGCCAATTTTTAAAATGGCCATAATTTGAAAATTTCAAGTCGGAATCAGCTCAAACTTTCTACATAGTATAACTACATCAATATGCATCAGAAAATGTAATAAAAATTGGGGGTGATTTTAAAGCCATTTTTTGGAAAAAACCATGTACAGGAGTTTTTTCAGAAATTGGCCAATTTTTTAAAATGGCCATAACTTGAAAAATTCAAGTCAAAATCAGCTCAAACTTTCTACATAGCGTAAGTACATCAATATGCATCAGAAAATACCGTAGGTCGGGATATATTCACGGCTGCAATTATTCACGGTCATAAAAAAATTTCAATTAAAAACCATGGAAACCGAGGTGTTATTTTAATTGAAAACGGCGCGATAGTGAAGAAAAGCTCCTTGCTGCAGTGTTCTTGAGCTGTTGTCCTTCTTGTGTTACTATGCCTTGGTCTCTTTGGAGCTGCTTTACAAGTTCTTTTCAGAACTAGTGCCTCGCCGTATTTTGGGACTCTCCACTAGGGCTGAGGATATTATTCCCAAAAATGTTCCCATTATTCTATTCCCTTATTCCCAATAAATTTGCCTATTATTCCTATTATTATTCCCAAGTATTATAAAAATAAACAAAATAACTATACAAAATTTGTCTCATTTAATGCTCATTATACTGTAACATCATAAGGAAGCCTCGATTGAGTCTTGTAAAGCACACTCATGGGTATCTTTGAAGGTGTTAGACAAGATTTATTAAGCATTCAGCCACACCTACTGCACAATTTTACAAATTTTGCCCTATTATTCCAGAATTATTCTTTATTCTTTAGACCACCTATTATTCTTTTTTTATTCTGGGAATAAAATCCTCAGGCCTACTCT